CAGGTGGGGCGGCTCCAGCCTGCCCGAGGTGACAGTGATGCTGCTGACGGACGCATCGCGGCTGCCTTCGGGTGACAGTGTGACAGCGATGCTTAGGAAGCGCCATGCCGCAGGTATAATGCTCTGGAGCAGCCTGGGGCTCAGTTAATCCTAAACAGAGGTAGCCATGGAGTCACCGCCGAAGGAGTTTGGGTTTGTCTGTCTGCTCGCTGAGCTGCTGGATTAGAGGATTCTCTTTGTGACCCAAATTTGTCGGGCTGCTGGTTGTATTCTCACTCTTTTTTTTGGTCTCACTGTTATTTCTGCAGATCAGAACAGTCTAACCCAGAAATCGTTCCCAGCTAAGCAGCAACTAGGAAGGAAAAAATTAAATACTGTTTTTAGGAGAGTAGGAAGGAAAAAATTAAAATCAATGCGAAGTTTACCACAACTCTTTGTCTCCTTAAAAAAACTCAACAGTACTTTTAAAAAGCTGTGTGTTTGAATTCAAAAGAAACGTCCTTCTAAAGATTATACAAGAATTATGTAAAAAATCTCAGGAAAGTTTTTCTAAACAAAATCTGCTATTAACCAGGAGGCACCCGGCAAGCACAGACTGATTAGAAGGTAACAGCATCAAAGCAGATAGCAAACTGAAACCCAAGGAGCTCTTCCTGTTGGAACAGATTAGGTTTTCCATGAGTCAGCCTGGAATTAGTTTGTTTGCATTTGGCACTTACCTGTTTGTGCACCTGTTTGTGCTGGTAACAGTGTGGTACAGAGTTGGTTATGCTGACCAGGTTAGCGGCTGCATTTTTAATTGATGGATTTCAGTTTGACAGGCTGAGCTGAGATGGTGCATAAAATCTTGATTTTGGGTTAAAAAAAAAATCTGGTTAGTCAGTACTAAAGCTATTTGCATTTTGTGTTTTTCGCAATGTGGGTAAATAAAAATGCTGTTTTGGAGCCCTTGGGCTGTAGAGTCCAGCTCTTAAATATCCTTGGCTGTGTTTGTATCCGAATTAATTTCACTGAAACATTCATAAATCATTCCTGCCAGCGTGAGGCTTCACAGGTAATTGAACAACATTAAGTTTGTCTCCTCTCTGAACTGTTGTAAATTGCCTCTCCGTGGCAATCACTGTGCCAGGGGGAGTTCCCAACTCCTGGCTCCCGTCCCGTGCAGGGCCTTGCCGCACGGGGCACGCCGAGCTGTGGTACAGCCTTTCCCCGGGCCTCTGCTCCCTCCCCCGGGTATCCCGGCAGCGGCTCTCCCAGCCCGTGCGTGGGTGCCTGCTCCTCCCTCCCTCTCCCAGATGTGTTGGAACAGCCTTGCAACACCCCGAGAGAGCCCTGGGAGCCCTTCCCCACCTGAGCACAGCCTCCCTGCCATCCTCCTGTACCCACGGCAAGGTAACGGGTGGTGCCAAGGCAGTGGTTTCCCAGGCAGGGCATTCTCTGCCATTTCTTCAGAACAGCAGCGACAGAAATCACTGCATTGCCATCTGCATTGCCTCTGTTCCCCAGCAGGTTGTTGGGGTTTTTTTGGCTTCTTGTTCTGAAACAGCTGCTCCAGTAGTGCTGAAGGCAGGCTATGGGCAGCCCAGCCTCTTGGAAGCGGAGAGATTTACTAATTACCAAGAACTAAGAAAAACAAACAACAAAATCAGTACTTAGTGTGATTCTTGCAGCCATGGTCCACCTCCACTACTGACACAAGACTGATGTGTGTGTTGTCTGTGACTGTCCAGTAAAGCAGGAGCAAACTTGACTTTTTAATTGGAAATGAATGGGTTTGGGTTTCTCTTTGATCACGTTCTAGTGCATTTCCGTTCATTGATGGATGTGTGCTTCAGTGCCCTGTCTGGGCTGTCAGACACAGCTGTGCCACATCTGTCTGTGCCTCCAAGCTGCCTCTGCCCACAGCCTCTGCCTGTGGCTGCAGTGCTGGAAACAGGCGCTGCTTGTAGGGCACCAACCCCTTTGCCAGTGCTGCTAAACTCTGCCCTATTCCCAGGGTGTTGGGGGCAAGAGCATTAAAGTATTTTCAGGTAGTGGAGAAAACCAAACACCCTGCAAAGCCTATTGGCTGTAGCCAGAGCAGGCATTCCCCATGCCAGCACCTTGCATGGTGCTTGAAATTCACAGATCTGTGACTTTTCCAGAATGTAGTTATGTTTCGTGTTTATGAGTCATTCAGGGTTAACCACATGCTTCTGGAAAACAGTAAGAGACGAGCAAGAAACTTACCAGAATTGTTGTTTTCCCCTCTCCTGTCCTCAGTCTCATAAGCCAGTACAGAAATGCATTGATGTGTTTTCTTTGAAAGGTGGCAACTTCGACATCTGAGGGCTTGTTGGAGGGAGCACGAGGTTTCCTCTCGCAGGCCAGGCAGAAGGGGCACGGGCGGGTTTTGTGCTTTATCTTTTCTAAGAAAAGGTTGAAGAAAACCTCTCTGCAAGCATAAGAGCAATTGGGTGTGTCCTCCAAAGTTGCCACCTCAGCATGTCAAGCTGTGTTGTCACTCGGCAGCATCTCACAAATCACCTCTCCTGAGAGTGGCTACAGCGCCCAGCAGCAATCACAGTAATTGCTGAAATCTGAGTGCAGTTAGCTCGGTGTAACTGTTGCACAGATGGCCACAGTCCCTGCGGCTGCTCCCCTGCACCCCTCCACACCAACAGAGGGCATGGGCAAAGCAGGAAGGAGCCATCTCTTTTCCAGGTGTTTTCAGTTGTCTGGGCTCTGTTTAGCACTGGGCAGCTGTGGATGCAGCTGGCAGAACAGGGCTGCCAGTGCCAGGTGACCCCGTGTCTCTGTGCCCCACCACTTGCTAGGATCACTCACCATGGATGTTCCAGAAGGGATGCAAGGAGGAATTATTTGGAGTACAACAGAAAAGCTGGGTTTGGCATTGTTGTAGAAACTAAAGGAGATAGCAGCATTGTATAAAGCTCCTAAAAATCTTTCTTATAATACATTATTGTGTTATTAAAGTTATAATTACCAGGTATCAGTGGCAAGTCAAAGTAATACATTTAAAGAATAATTTTTACTTGGATAATGTCTTCAGTGTGTATGACAAAGGAGGAGAAGCCAAACTGGTTTTCTTACAAATTATCTCTCATCTTTGAACACATATGCATTAATTAAATGTGCCATGCTCAGATATTTATGTACATAACTGTGGAAATAATTAATTTCCATGGTTCTACTTGTATTTCGTTTTTTTTCTTCTACCAGCCTAGTGATAAACATGCTTGGAAATTGCTGTTTAACTCTTGAGGGTTTTTTTCCCCCTCTACAAAAATGTGATTTTTTCTTACATCTGTTGCAAGTGTTTCAGCCCTTAAAGCACATAAAACAGAAGTGTCTATTGATCTCCTGAGCTGACTAGAATAAACCTTTAAAACTACTCGGTTTAAACCCAAATTTGTTTTCTTCTTGGAGGAATATCTACTGGAGGTTTAAGGCATTAACTTTACAATTAACTAAAGGAAGAACTGGGGTTTTATTAGACATTGCTTCTGAAGCCACTCTAGTAACAAAACATATGCTTAATAAACTACATAACACTGATGGCAAGGAGAAAAGCTTTGCAATAATTCCTTTCTAAGCTGGTTGATACAATTCACAATCAGGGGAAGTGCTCAGATAGAGGAAAGCAGGAGATGATGAACGTGGCACATCAAAATGTAGAACATGAAAGTAGTTTGAAAGGGAAACTTCAAAGTTAGGGATCCAGATGCTGGAATCACTAGCTGTGATT